GCGAAACGTGCAAACTTGCAAATCACAAGGATGATGAAGGAGCAAATGGAGGATAATGATATGCGAACTGTGAAGGACTTGAGGTGAAGGAGCTGAGAGAGGAGGATATGCGAAAGGTGAAAGAGCTGAGGAGCTGAGGTGAAGGAGCTGAGAATCAAAGGAACACTAAGTTCACCCAGACACCCCCTGAACTCGTGGGTACCAAAAACGAGACCCTACGACTTACCTCCCTACCCGTGCAGCATGCCTGGTGGCGACCGTTTGAGGGGGCACGGGAGGCCTGCACGGGCTGCACCTCGGGCCTCGCGAAGGCCCTGCGGGCTTCTTGGGGGCCGCTCGGGGGCCTCCTGGGGGCCTCTCTTGAAGCGTCTTTTGGACGCTTCGGGGGCTATTGAGGGCTGCTTGGGCCGTCTGAGGGCGCTCTTGGGCCGTCTGGGCGCTTTCGCAATCCGTGTCGGGGGGCTCTATAGGTCGTCTTGGGGACCTTGACGGCCGTCTGAGGGCTCACTTGGGCCGACTTGAGGTCCTCCTGGACCGCTCCTGGGCCATCTTGGAATCCTCTTTGGCCGTCTTGGGTCCCTCTTGAGGCCCTGGTGGGGCGTCTTGAGGCCATCTTGGAGGCCTCCTCTGCCGTACGTGTTGAGCTGACGGAAGCTCATAACGGTGAGAAGGCGATCATCGATTCAACACAACATCCGAATCAATCAGGTTCGCCTCTGCGGGCCCTGCTGGAAGTTCTCTTGTGGTCCTCTTGGGCCGTTTTGAGGGGCATCTTGGGCCCTCTCGCGGCCATCTTGGGGCCAGATTCGGCCGTCTTGGCGGCACCGTGGGCCATCTTGGCTTGGCGGCGCGCAGAGGGGGGTATAGGGGGAGGGGGAAGGCTTCTTAGAGTCACCCCTGCTTCTTCGGAGGCGCGGGCCGTGTCTGTAGATGCAATGCCCGCGCCTTCTATTAAGGAGCAGCCTCCTTCTAAGGAGCCCTCCTCCCTCCTCCTGCCCCCCTTCTGCGCGCCGCCAAATGGCGGCGGACATGGTGGCCTGCCATGCCGACGCTGGAAAACATCACTGGGGCATCGTGGGCGCCGCGGGCAGCGGGCCAGAGAGGCGTCAGGCCGCCCAGACGGGAGCCCCTCGGGAGCAGAGGGGGGGGGGCGACGCACGCAGAGGGCCGCGCCGAGAGGGGCCCCCATATACAGTGGAGGGCCCTCTGCCAAGAGGCACCCCTGCTTGCCTCCTCCTCCTCCTCCTCCTCCTCCTCCTCCTCCTCCTCCTCCTCCTCCTCCTCCTCCTCCTCCTCCTCCTCCTCCTCCTCCTCCTCCTCCTCCTCCTCCTCCTCCTCCAGGGCGCCATCGAGGGCCGTCGAGGAGCATCCCGGATCATCGAGCCCGGGAAAAGAAACGCACGGCCCCCCCCCCCCCGAAAAAAAAATGCCCGGGGCATGGCCGCCCGAGTGGCGGCAGGTCCTGTGCCGGGCCCCGGCCTCGCAGAGGACCTGCTTGTCGTCCCCGCTCCACGCAGTTTCTCTCTCGAACAGGCGACTTTAAAGCGACGCGAAGATCGGGACAAAATCGGATCGGGATAACTCGAAATCTCTGAGAATCGGCGGGTTTGGAGGATGTATTGGGCGCCGCGGCCGCTCCAGAGCGTTCCGGAACGCTCTGAGAGCGCTCTGGAACGCTCTGGAGCGATTTATCCCGATCCTAGCCCTATTTTAGACTTACAGTGGAGACCATGCCACGAAACACCTTGATGGCCTCCAGGGTGCCATGGGTTGCTTGGGTTTAAGAATTGCCCACGCCAGGCATCCATGGACATCCTGGGGTTTCAGGGTCGGGTTTCTCGTGGAAGGTTTCTTGTCGTCGGGCTCCTACTGTAGAGGACTGCAGGACCCCTGCCAGGCAGCACTCGGAACTCTTTCACGCCTCAACGTGCCAAGGGGCACGATGGCAGTCATGTGGATTGACAGTACATCGACGGGCCGGACGGCCCACCCAGGCGTACGAACCATAGCACCCCTCGGGGTCTGCGATCACCCCGTGCTCCAGGGAAGCAGTGACGCCGAACAGCGACAGGCAGGGCCACCGAGGAAAAACTAGATGGGTGAAGTGAGTGCAGGATTCGGAAGCAGCGTGCTGCTGCAGGAGGTAAGCGAAGCAGCACGGCCCGTCTGCGAACACACACACACACACACACACACACACACACACACACACACACACACACACACACACACACGCACGCATGCACGCACGCACGCACGCACGCACGCACGCACGCACGCACGCACGCACGCACGCACGCACGCACGCACGCACGCACGCACGCACGCACGCACGCACGCACGCACGCACGCACGCACGCACGCACGCACGCACGCACGCACGCACGCACGCACGCACGCACGCACGCACGCACGCACGCACGCACACACACACACACACACACACTCACACACACACACACACCAGCCCTCGATGCGCAGGCCAGCCTCCGATCGGCTGGTCCAGCTCGTGCTCGTCACTGCAGTGGACAGCTGCGAGCAAGCAGCGCTATCATCAGGTCTGTGGCTTCCGGGGCCTGGGCCAGCAGGGCCGTCGCGGGAGCGCCAGGAGCTCCCAAGTAGGCCCGCAGTGGGTGTGTCGGGCCTCGCGGGGCCATCGAGGGGTTTTGAGCTGGAGATGTAATGCTCGTCGGACGCGTATAGGCAGGGGGGGAAGCAGTGTCTCAGCCCCCTGGAGGCCTGCATATATGCGACATGCGTTGGCACTGTTTACACATTCGTATGTTTGCGATTTGGGCACCGTTCTCGAAATTCGTGGCGCCAGCAGAGGAGCCCTGCGCAAGACTTACCAGGCCACTGCCCCAAGGAAGGGCTCGCGTTCATACTGATGTTCGTGTTTCGCTTCCTTGCGTTCACCTATGCAAAGTACCTCCGGCTGCAGCTGCAGCGACTAGCCCTGTTGCCAATAGGGCAGTCAATGCACGTCTAGTCGCCCCAGCTTTGGAGTTCTGCAATGCCGCGCTCATGATCATCATCATCATCACCGTTGTCGTTTCCATTGTATTGTTGACAGGCTGTTGTTCGAGAACTTGTCCTGGTTTCTTATGGTGGCGCATGGCTGTTTTTTGTGTAAGCGTGTCGTAACTTGTCGTCGCCATCAGTGTCTACTATAGTGCCTTGATGGTTGCTGCCATGTGTGAACTGCTCATGCCAGTCGCGCCCTGGAAGTGAGCAGGGCAGCATCGTTGCAATGGTTTGGTAAGGTCACGCATGTCTCTGCAATTTCCTCAGCAGGTTATTGCACTGTGGGAGGGGGAAGCAAGAACAGTCTACGTGATTTCTGAGTCGCGAGTGGCAGCGCGATAGAGTGTAACATGGTTTGCGGCGGAAGGCTCGCAGTTGGCCCTAATTACAAGCGGGGCCACTGCTGGATCCCGCGCTGACTCCCTTGATTATTTTTACCTGCGTCGGCTGAGTATGTCACCGCACGGCTCACGATGGCACATACACTGGTCTATGTGTGATGTGGTGGTGTTCACTGACATGTTCTTGTTTGATCGGGTCCCTGATAAACCATGACTGCGTCAGGGCACTTGCGCACCACCCTCTGTGCTTGTTTCCCCGCGTGTGATTGGTTCGCTGATGTATGTATATAAATTTAGATACAGCTATCTGTATGTTTGTGCATGAGCCTCTATATATATATATATATATATATATATATATATTATATATATATAATGTACATATATGTGTGTGTCCCCTTGCTAGGTTCCTTGTGTCTGCTCGCTGCTAGCTTGATTGTTTGCGTGCTCTTTGTTGTATGGTTTGCAGCGGACGACCTTGTGCACGCGTGCTTGCTTGAAACCGTGCGAACGCATGGATTGTGCGGTTGCCTCCAGTCGTGTGCGTGGGTCTGCGCTTCACGTTTGTTTCGCGTCCTTGTGTATGCGTGTTTGTTTAGGCGTGTGCGCGTCGGGTTCATGGGAAGCAGTGTTGCGTGTTTGATTGCGCATGCTTGCATTTGTTCGGAGTAGCCTGACTGTCCGTGCGTGATTGCGTTTCGTGGTCTAGGGTTTCACAGATACGAAGGATATTGGTATGGCCGCATGAGAGTGTGTGTTCCTTGTGGCACGCACACACGGGTGCATTTACACATATAGCTATTTATAGTTACAGATGCATCGAAAGACGCCCGTGGGCGTACGTGCGCACATGTGGCTTACGTGTAATGCATATGTGTACCCAGTACAAGTGCATGCGCGGGAAGAGTAGGCCAGCAGGTGAACCCGTTGCGGTACGCAGCCGTGAGGGCGCACACGTGGCATACATACTTAAATGAGCGCATACGGTTATGAGTGAACGTACCCTTCCAGGAGCAAGTTCTAGTGCACATGTACAGAGTGTATAAGGTAAGAGTGCGTAGGCATACGCGTCGGCCTACATGGACACATCGGTGCAAAAGGGACGGAATACACGCGGGGATCATGCAGATATCGAACTATCTACATATATGAAGTTACGCCAGTCACGCACTTAGACGTAGGATCAACCACGCACGAAGATAAGTGACAAACAGCTCCAAGCTAGTCATGTGTGCTTACGTACTGGCAGAGATACGTAGTTCCGCAACTTGGGATGCATCTGCCAGCTGTGCACGAAGCACTTAGGAACGTACGGGTACGTTGAAAGGGGGTATGCTGTCGGACGGGGCCTGGAGCCCTAGGCACACCGCTGGACGTGAGGGGCGCCCTGTGCGACGAGGTCATCTGTAGGCAAGCCGCTGTGGAGACACACGGCGAAGTTCTGCGGTGGACAATGCCGACCCGATCGTCCGTCGCCTCGGCCCCCCGCCGTGCGCCGCTGGCAAGAGCCGCTTCCGCCCAAGGCGGCTGGTCCACCCGGGGCCCGTGGCCGCGGCAGCCCCCCCCGAGGCTCGGAGGAGCCCGCCCCCTCGCCGGGGCGCGGGCGCCTCGGAGAGAGAGCGCGCTCTGCCCGCG